AACAATTTGTGAGTTCTTTATTGGTAGAACCCTTTAATGGCAAGCTGCAGCCCGACTATAGGCTCAGTACTCACCACTGAACCATTATGTGTTTCCTCTCCTTAAAAGTCCTTATAAAAGTGTCCTGTCCCAAGAGCTCTCTCTAGTTGAGATACCAAGAGTTCTAAGAATGGCCAACTAAAGTGCAAAAGATGGAGGTAGATCACATGATCAAAATCATGGAAACAAATAACCTTCCATCAAAGCAACCTCCAAACATATGCAAGGCAAACATGGCATCATTTTCCAAAATTATGACTATATCGTTCATAAAACATATATATACATAGTTCGGAAAAAAATCAGAGTAACAACAATCATCCCACTCAACAACAGTTTACAAAATTATATAATACTAATACAGGTTATTATACGTAGCAAAACACACACACACACACACACAATATTTTCTCTATAAGTATATAAATAATACTCTAATCATACAAACAAGCCTTCAAAGTAAATAACATGGTTACCTCTTTTCCCAAAGGCTAAATAGAAATTACTCGTGATCTCTACGTACGCATGATAACAAAGTAAAGTTAATATATGATGCCCATAAGAATACAAGTAACATATACATGTATCTCAAAGGGCTAATATAAACTAAATATCAACCATAGATTTCTCCCAATTTTCTTAATCTTTAATATAAACTAGTTTTTATGTATTTATAATACTAATAAAATTTTTATAATCTAGAAAATTGTTTTAGGGAAAATCACATATATCCCATATAACAAATTAATAAATAAATCTTGCAAAATTTAAAAACTACGTAAAATTAAGTCCCTTGAAATATGAGTGTAGTTTGAGGTTGAGATACAAAGATAATATTGCCCATGTTAATGTGGCTTTCATACGCAACTGCAACATCACAACAAATAAGTAAAATTTGTAATTCATAAGTTAATTTTTCCTTGTATAATGCTGATATAACATGGAGACTTATGTATTGTTATATCTAGCATTAAACAAGAATTCTAGCTTCTGAATTATGATTTTTTCACTTGCAAACTGAATTAAATTTCATTTGTAAGTAAAAACCAAATTAATTGTTAAGAGTTTTATTAATTAAATCTAACATTAAACAACTCATAGGCTAAATATGTAAATCTTGAATAAATTTTGTTGGAATTATTTGTAAATAAGTCTCCACACAATCCCTTAGAACTACGTACAGTCGTCTCCCATCCCTTGCAAGATTCACACAATCTAGAGGACATAGGAAAGCGCGTATTCTGTCAACCCATAATTTTATTCTGACTATATATACAAATCAACGGAGAATATTCTTAAGTGAAATAGAATAATTCCATAAATTATATTACATATCATCTTTTTTCTATTCAATTTCCCATCAACATCATCTTTCCATGCATCAATTTTCCCAATATAATTCAATTGTTAATTACAGCAGTGAAGTCAAGTGTCCAATATTTTTTACTAAAACAACCAAAAAAAAAAACAAACAAACTCCATCACTTCAGCACAAGGTACAAGCTGCTCAGAGGGAAATCTGAGTATTTTATTTGTTACTCAAAATTCAAGACCAACATAAACATTTGAAAAGCATCCATGTATAGTATAGTATGTCAAAAAGAGACTCCAGGATTATGAAGAGGCAAATTAATATCACACCATATCTGGGCCCTCTCGTCCATTTTTACTTCTGTCAGAAAGAGGAGCAAGTTCTGCAACACTAGAAGCCTCAAAGTGGTTCTCAGAAATAACCTCTTGATAACTAATCCACAAAACCGCATGAAGAAAAACAATAGGCATAGAACATGCTAAAGTCACACCCAGATGAATCTCTGCGCTTGTTAAAATAAGTTGAACCATAGTTGCAATGGCAAGTAAAGCCAAAACAAACCTTTTGTCTAAAACTCTGTGAAGGAGGTAAGAATTAGGGTGTGCCCTTAATAGCAGCAAGTACAACGTTGTCACATAGGTCATGATAACCAGAAGAATCAAGGAAACTTCGCGTGCAGGGATTAGGGTTATGAAGAGTATGATCCAGACAAAAAGTGTGTAATATAACCCTAAATTGCCCAAGTTTCTGATGATCCGAAGAGCTGCAGCTTCTAGGGTTAATGGAATGTTGAGAGGACAATAAAAGTTGAAGTCACTGAACTGCTTTTCATCGGGTGCTTTTGGTTCATAGGGTTCGTCGGTCGATGAAGGTGATTTTGATGAGTTGGGAATTCTCTGTATCGTTCCCAAACTTGCCATGTGATATGATGATTGGATCAACTTTTTGGGGTAATCTCCAACGAGAGAATTCTGAAATCAAAATGAATGTGTGATATGTTTGTTTGATTTGGATGAGGCTCGTGTTAATTTGTAGTATCAAGAGATATGATAATTTCTTTTCTTTTTCCCCTTTGGACTTCCTAGTGGAAAACTTTGAATAGAGACTTGGTAAAGAATTTCCTTATCATCGTCATTATATTAGACTATTGTAGAATTCAAAATTGACAGCTTGATTGACCTAGCTATAACTATATATATATATATGAAGTTGAACTGACATGTAAGTAATGTTTCGGAAATTTCAACAAGAACCTTCTTTGTCATCTCAAATAGAGGTGGTAATATGAGTTGAGCTCACAGGTTCAATCTACCAAAATGTTGTGAATTGGGTTGAAAAAATAGGAGCTTTTTCAGAGGCAACTTTTTCCCTGCTCGCACTAACCAGAGCCTGTCATGAATTAACTAGCACAACTTGTGGAGTAGCCCGCTCTTTTTTCCTTCAATTTCTATAATTATTTTTTCCAAACATAATCATAATATTTTGGAAAAATTACATATAGATTGCATGAAGCTGACTTATTTACAAATATGTCCTACGAAATTCAAAAACCACAGCTAGGTCTCTTAGGACTTAAGTGTAATTTGAAATTAGACTACAAAAATAATAATGCCCCTATTAAACGTACATTAAATCTATCAAATAATTAATTTATAACTACTTAATCAGCAATTTATAATTATAACTTCAACTTTTTACAGTTCTAACTTCATGTATATCCAATAATTAAATTAAATTGATTGGTTTAACTATTGAATAAGTAAAATTATAGTTATAAAAAGTTAAAATTATAATTATAAATTAATAATAAAATAGCTGCAAACGGTTAATGTTAAACTTTATTAATAATAAATGATTGTTTAGGTATTGAATATGTGAAGTTAAAGTTATAAAAAGTTAAAATTATATTTATAAATTGATAATAAAGCAGTTATAAATTGATGTAATATATGTTTAATAGGGTTATTATTGTCTTCGTAGCCTAATTTCACACTGCACTCAGGTCCCAAGGACTTGGCTGTCATTTTTAAATTTTTTGGAACTTATTTGTGAATAAGTCTACTCTACGGAACCTATTTGTAATTTTTCCTAATATTTTTTTGAAATATATTTGTTTCGTTAATTAAAAAAAAGGAAAATTTGTGAACAGTAACTATAATAAAAGACGTCAAAGATTAAAAAATACTCCTTGAACAAATATTTATAACTCATTCCTTCTGTCTTTAATTATTATCAGAAAATTTTCTATAATTTTTAACTTGAGACTTTATAAAATTTCTTAATGCTTCTTGATTTATTTTTTTTTTAACTAATTAAACAACATCAATATAAGTCAGTACTTTCTATTTAATAAATTCCATTGAGAGTAATTCTAGAAATTTAAGAGCATGAACTAATTTTAACCTGTTTGATCATTTTATTATTTGTTACTCAGCATATTAAAATTATAAAGAATAATCTGTTATTGAAACGCATGTTATTCTAAAGGCAAATTGAAATTTAAACATGTCCTGCTTTTAAATTTATTACCACATACATAGAGAAAATATAAACAACACTTATTCTTTTTTAGAATTTATTATTTTCTTAGATGTTAAGCATATAAGCAACAAATTATTTATTTAAAATTTATTATTATGTATAAATTAAAATTCTAAAAATAAAAAATATTAGGTTGAACAATATTTCTGAATTAAAATAATTCATTATTTTACTTTTTCCCTTTTGTAAAAAAATGTCGTACACATGATTTTATTACAGAACTATATTTCTGAATCATAAAGACCTCAGCTTAAGGTCTGTTCGTTGTTAAAAAAAATTATGTTGGAAAAAATTGATGCACTAAAGGATGGTGGGTATATTGAATTAAACGTTAGGCAAAAATGATGCGTAATTATATAATTTATGGATTATATTTTATTTGACTTATGATTCTCCGTTTATTTGCATAGCATCCATTCAAAATCAATGCTCTTCTTGGGGTATTTCTATCAACTCAGCAACAGCACACTGTATTCAAAATACAAATTTTATCTGGGCAATGCACTTATACAGGCTAAATAAAATAATTGAATAAATTAACCCATAATTGAAAATACGAAGGGTGTTCCCTCATCATAATTTAATCGAAAAATGAAAAAAAGTTCCCCCTCCTATATGCAAAATAAATGAATAAATAAATAAGATCACACGAAATGACCAAAATAAAATAAACAATTACAATTTTACTGTACAATTTGTTTATTTTAAACTAATAATTTTATCAAAAATATTAATGTCAGAAAAGCTCCTAAAAATTATGGCATTTTAAGAGATTTTATTTTCATTTACGTATTTCAAGAATATTTTTCTGTCATTTCCCGAATTCAATTCTTTGACACTAGCTGAGATATTAAGTGGGTCAAAAGTTTGTCTTTTTTTTTTCTGGGTCATATTTTCAATTAATTTATATTGCAAACTTAAATTTATGAAAACTTCAGCTTTACAAAAGCTAATCCAAACAGATATATATGTTTGGTTAATGGCCCCCAATATAAAGTTTGATGGCAAAAGTAAGTTGACTGGATACTGTTTACCTAAATTGATTAATTTACTTTTAGTAGTTTCTTGAAGAAAACAAAGTCAAGATTAGTGGCTCTGAGAGTATTGGATGCGGAGATTTGAAGAAAGGCGAATGATTTTGAGAAGGCTGTTTCTGGAGGTTTGGAGAATGATCTATATCTCCTTCAAAGGTAAATTAATGGATCTGGATATGGGTACTGGTTTCAAAGATGGCAAGGGTAGTTGTGTTTTTGATGCTGTATGGAGAGATTCAAAAAGTGTTGCCTTAGACAACAGGTAACGCTGAAATATGCAACAATTGAAAAATACTGTTGTTTTTTTATAAGAATAAGCAACACTTAAGAATTGTTCAGTAAACTTCCAATAGGCAAAATTAAATATTTCTGCCCTACCTAGAATTTGAACCTTGAACCTCTTAAATATAAGTCAAGCCTCTAACCATTTTCTAACATTACTATTATATGTAGAGATATTTTTAAAGTAACTATTGAATTAATTTAATAAATAAAATTAGAAGAATATGTCAAAAAATGGATAAAAAATAAAAGTAAATAGTTTTTTTTATAAACGTAAACAATATGCAAGAGTTCTTCACTGTTGTAAAAAGCAACATTTAAAAGCATCAATTTTTTTTCGTTTGCCTAATGGAATATAATAGGGAACAGTTTTTAAATGTTGCAATAAGAAGGGTTTTATAGGCAACAATTTATAAGTTACCTATTCTAGAATTTTATTGCAAACTATTGCTTAATTTACTTTAGAGTGCAATTTTCAGTCATTACCAAATAGTTGTTGCTTAAAGTGAGGACTAATCTCAATACATGAAGACTGTTATTTATCCAGACATTAGACAATACTTTTAGAATTGTTGTAAACCAAAGTGTTGTTATAGGTTAAAAATGTTGTAGTGATTGAGAGAAATATTCAGACGACCGTGTGATGATGGAGATTTCTCAAGAGGAATATGAAATGTGGCGTGCACCATGGAGAAAATTTCTTATTATTAAACTGTTGGATAAGAATATTCCTCTTTATGTCATGATGAGAAATGTTGAAGACTGATTTGATCACGCATACATGTGAAAGGGGTAGATTTGCCCATATATGTGTTGAGCTTTATTTACAAAAGGGTTGAAATAACTAAAAGGATAATCATATTTTTTAATTTCATTTTAAGCATCAAATGTATAAATTATATATATGACGAATAACAGTTGAGAAATATTGAAAGAGATATTAAAAATTTAAAATAGGAGAAAATGACACAAATAAGGATTCTATAAGGTAATTAATGAAAATTTTAAAATTTTATTCAAACTTCTCTATTCACAACTTGTAAGTCCTTATTTCGAGTTAATCTAATTACAAGGTCCTTAATTCACTACAAAAAAAAAATTCAACAACAACTTTTAGCGATGACTCTAAAAAGAGAATCGTCACTAAAAATGAACAATCTGCGGCAATAATAAAAGTTATTACTAAAAGTTTGACTTTCTACAGCAATATTCAAAGTCATCATTGAAAGGGTGATTTTTTGTAATGACAATATATAGTCAATGAAGATTGTTAGACTTTTAGCAGCAACAAGTGCATATTATTGTTGAAAGTCTAAATTTCAGTGGTGACATATAAGTCGCCATTGAAAGTTGACAATTAGTGGTGACTTTTTAGAGTCGCCGCTAGAAGTTTGATTTTCATATTACCATCATAATTTTTATTTTTTTAATCTAATATTTAACATTTTAAGACATTAAATTTGTTGTATGATCGTAATTTTATAAAGAATATATAAAATAATTTAATCATCTTTCATTTAATATATTTTATGGTTAAATTGTAACTTTAAAATAATACAATTATTTTAAGATAAGGTTAAGGTATTATTTAATGCTAATGAGCCAAGCTAAAGAATTAAGTCGAACCATGTTATTTTACGTCAATTTTTGTTATCAAGTATTATTTTGTTTGATTCAGTCCAAATATTTAGGCAATTTGGTCAATTGGTTTTGGTCAATTAACACAAAGTCTAACTAAATACATATCCTTATGTAAAGTAATAAATTCATTCAAAAATCTAACATTTGATATTTTAATTTATTCAAAAACCTAACTAAATTGAGTCTCTATTTTCAAATATTTAATGATTAAATTGATATTTTAAATAATAACACTACTTATTTACAATAATTAGACATGTGATAGTTAAATTTATTCATTTATAGAATGATATTTCATCTAATCTAATTTTTTTAATTTAAATTCTACATTTAAAATCAGTAACTTTAAAGTTTGATGGCAATTTAGGTATTCTCAATTTGATGACTAATGATAGAAAAGAGAAAGATGAAAAGAAGAAAAATAAAATATTCTAAAATTCTACTTTTAACTTTTACAATATATGACATATATCTATATATGTGATACTATATGATATTTTTTTATGCTATCTTGCGATATAAATGAAAAAAAATAGATAATATAGTGTATATTTTTCTTATAAAATTATAATTTAAAAATAAAAACTAATTAAAATGTAAAATGTAATGTAAAACCAAGCCAATTACATTACTTAAGAGTTATTGTTAATTAAAAGTAAAAATAACATTTTAAATAAAACTAGCTAGAAAAATAAATAATTATGAACTAATGTATAATCATCTACTCCATTTGTTTAAAAATGTAAAGCATTTTTAATCAAATCTCACCCCCAATAAAGTAGTTACCTACTTTTCAATTAACCTTACCTTTTTATATTTACCCCTATCAAATGCCCTCCAATAAATATAAAGCCATTATCAATAGAGGTACTTTTAAAAAAAAAAGACAATAATTACACATTGAAAGGCTAAAAATGTCTTACATTTTTTAACATCTAACTCTTCAAAAAATGCCTTATATTTTCTAACAGAGGGAGTATATTTTTACTATTTATTCTTAGACATTTTTTATATTATAGTCATAAATATGAGTGTCAAAATAAATAATATAATAACCTCAAGAAGTAAAAAATAAAATAAATAATTCAAATGATATTGTATCATCAATTACATTTATTTTTTACATTAGACAAAATAAATAATATATTTTAAAATTTTAATAAATTAAAAGAATTAAATTGAAGTATTTAATGATAGTAATGATATTTTATAATATTTAATATTTAAAATATATGTGTGTTTGTATAGTGTTATATATTTATTATTTATTTATTTATTTATTTATTTATTTAATTATGTAATAATAGACTGTAGGTTTATTCCAACTCAATGGCAACATGGTGGGAAATAAAAGGAGGAAGTCATGCTTTCAAACCTTAAAAGAGGGAAGTCATGAAATAAAAATATAAATTGGTGATATGATGACACATGGTGTGAGGTAGGGACGATATGTGGAGGATGATATGACGTCATATGGAAGGATGACATGGCCCATGTGGGTAGATAAAACTAGCATTACTTTTCAATGATGAGAAAAAAATCACTGCTGATGTGTGGTTTCTGTAGCAACATTTGTTGCTACCAATTCTCAATTTTTTGCGGCAACTATCTTTTTGTGATGACAAGTTTTCTTTTCTATGGTGACATTTATTGCCACCGATTTTTAATAGATAGAATCAATGATAAAAGTTCTCGCAGTGACATTGTAACGACTTTTTGTCATCACTTAAAACTTTCAACAGTGACCTTTTAGCTTTCAGCAATTGAAAGTCAATTTTTTTTGTAATAATTGTTATTTTATGTTTTTAAAATTGAGAGAATGACACACTACTATAAAAATGACTTTTTACAGTGGCTAAAAATGACTTTTTACAGTGGTTAAATAGGTGGTGTTGTTACATAGGATGTAGAAAGTCTAACTTTCTACATCGGTTATACGACCACTGTAAAAAATACATATTCTACGTCGGCTAACCATAACCGATGTAGAAAATAGTTCAACAATTGAAAAATTAAAAATTGGAGTACTTTCTACACCAGTTAGAAGTGCAACTAGTATAGAAAGTTGACTTTCTATACCTTTGGACTTCCAACTGGTGTAGAAAATACTTTCTACACTGGTTGGGTTCCAACCGGTGTAGAAAGTCCACTTTCTACACCAAGTGACAGTCCAACCGGTGTAGAAAGTTGACTTTCTACACCAGTTTCACTTCCAACCGATGTAGAAAGTTTGCTATTTTACACCAATTATTACCATAACTGATGTAAAAATTACAATTCTACACTAGTTATAGTAATAACCGCTGTAAAAAGTGCATTTTATTTTTAAAATAAATGTTCATATTTTTAAAATTTCTCTACTCTGTACAAAAAAATTACCACAGCCAAATCAGATAGCACAATTTATTTATAATTTCCAATATAAAATTAAATTAACAACTATTCAAAACTCAAAGTTATCTATAAACTATCTAAAAATTATATATTGAGCTATCCAAAATATTGTATTAACAAATATTTTCAAAAGTTGTCTACAACTAACAAACTTCTTAAATTATATGAAACTTTCTACAAAACTCACAAATTCTCCCCAAAATAAATTGTCCAATGTATGCGAATGTCTTCAATTTCAGCTTTGGGGAATGGATCCAAATTGTCAAACATCTAAAATATAATTTGTAAAAGAGACTTATTATGTACTGTCAAATAACATAACAAAATAAAACTCTTAAAAATATATATACCTCTTTTGTAAATTCAGTCATGCCCAATGTGATAATGTTGAGCATATGTCTCATCACATATAGGCCGCACAATTTCATCTTCACCGGTTGTCGACGGCTCTGTATAAGAATAAATCATAAGAAATCAATAAAAAAATATTAGTAATTGAACATATTCATAAAGTATAGCATTACCTTTGGCTCGATCCATGTAGGATCCTTGAGCTCATGTCCGTGCTTTTGCAAGACTACATTTTGATATGTTTTCATTGCTCTATGTTCAAGATCACCAAGTTAGTAACTAAAATATTTAGTGTAAATTATATTAATATTTTTGCACAAATATACGTACGAGTCTATCGTCTTCTTTTAGAAGATTTTAATAGAGAAAATTGATAATTTTAAACCAAATTAATGATCATATGCAACAACCTAAGGCTTTATGAAGCCACTAACATTACTTCCAACAACAATCAATATCAATAACAATTAAATTTAAATAATTTAGGGGAAAGAATAAATTTTAAAAAATTTTGACAAAACCTCCCCTAAAAATTAGACCTCCCAAGACTTTTAAAAAATTTTAATAAAGAAAATTGATAATTTTAAACTAAATTAATGATCACATGCAACAACTTAAGGCTTTATGAAGCCACTAATAGTAATCCCAACAATAATCAATATCATTATCACACACACACACACACACACACACACACATATTAGCCTCATAAATTAAAAAAATTAACAAAAAATACAATCAAATAAAAGATTATCTTTATAAAAATTAAGAGCCATACCTAATCAATCAAGAGTGGCGGCAGCAACAAGAGGAGGAGCAAGCCATAGGAGGAGGAGGAAGAGGCAGGGAGAGGGGAATATGAAGGAAATGGCGGCAAAGGGGGGAAGGGGTGCAGCTGCAGGGGGAGGTGGAGGGGGCACGGGGAAGGGGAAGGGGATAGGGAGGGGGCGGGACAGGGGGAGGTGGGTGGGCGAGGAGGTGAGGGCGGGGCAACGGGAGGGGGCCGAGGGGACGGGGGATGAGGGAGGGGGTGGGGTTGAGGGGGAAGGGGATGGGGCGGGGGCTGAGGCAGCGCGGGATAGGGGAGGGGTAAAGGGGGAGGGGGCTCGAAAAGGGAAGAGGAGGGACAGGGGGCAAGGGGCGAGAGCAGATTCTGAGGAGGCAGAGGGAGGTAGCGAGATCGGGAAGAGAAAATGAAGGAGGAGGAGTAGAGTGGGAGGCACCTATCAAGCAAGATTGAGGAAGAAGAGGAGAAAATGAAGGGGGAGGCACGGACTAAAGGAAAAAAATTTAAATTACTTTCTACAACGAGTGTATAAACACTCACTGTAGAAAGTGTTTTTCTACAGCGATGAGTGTCACTCGGTGTAGAAAGCTTGACTTTCTACAACGAGTGTTTAGTCACCCACTGTAAAAATCCTTTTTTACAGCGGTTCGCATTTCACCCGTTGTAAAAACTATAATATGCGTTGCCATTATTACAAAAATGCCACCGCCCTAACTTTCTACAGCTTTTTCCTTCCAACCGATGTAGAAAATACCCCTTAAATTTCATATTTTGTAGCAGTGACACTTAAGTTTCAATTGAACTATTTTATTCCTGTAAAGCCTCAAAGAAATTCAAAATGTAAAGGACATCCCTTAATCTTAGGACCAAAATTTAAACTTCCAAATTTGCAATCTATTTTTTAAAATTTGCAACTTCTTCTACTTTAATTTGCAATTCAGTTTTCTAATTTAATTTAAGAATACAATTTTTTTACAAAAAATACAAAATTTTGACATTAAATTTTATAAAATTATTTATTTAGTTCGATAAATTTGTAATTTATTTTCTTGGATTTGCAACTTTATCTACTATAATTTGTAACTTTATATCCCAATTTTATTTATGAACATAATATCAATGTTTATTTTTCTCAAGAGAAATTATTTGTTCAATTCTAAGAATTTACAATCTAATTTACCTAATGTGCAATTCCATTCACCTTAATTAGTTTACACCTTGAGTTCCAACTATTGTTTAGAAATTCATAAATGAAATTTCTTAAATAAAATTAATATTGAAATTTTGTGTTTATAAATAAAATTGGGATAGAAAGTTGCAAATATGAGAAATTAAGTTACAAATACTTATAGCTCACAAAATAACATTATAAATTCAAGGTTGAAATCTTGAATCTAAATAAAATTTAGAATTTGAATTGTAAAATAAGGTAAATGGAATTACAAACTATAGAGAGTAAAATGCAAAATCTTGAAATTGAATAAGTAATTTCTCATGAGAAAAATAAATATTGAGATTGTGTTCATAAATAAAATTGAGATACGTAGTTGCAAATCATGGTAATAAAGTTGCAAATTTGAGAGAGTAAGTTGCAAATTTTTGCAGCTAAATAAAAAAATTTATAAAATTCAATATAAAAATTGTGTTTTATATAAAAAAATTGTGTTCTTAAATTAAAACAGGAAATTGAGTTATAAATCAAAATAGGAGTTGCAAATTTCAGAAAATAGTTTGTAAATTTGTAAGTTTAAATTTTTGTCAAAGGATCAAGGGACTTCCTTATATTTTGAAATTTGTTGAAACTTTATTAGAATAAAATGATTCTTTTGGGATTTAAGTGCCATTCTCCCTTTAAAATTGGATCTTGAGTTCAGTTCTTACCGTGGAGTTTTTTTTTTTAAAAAAAAAAAAAGTTTACCCCACCCAAGATATCCATCATCGCTACTCAACAACGTATCCTTGCGTTTCCACTCCACCATTTTTATCATTTTTAAAAGAGAAAGTTACGCATATAAAGAACTCATCAATAAATAGGTCCCGCAAATTTGAAGAAATTATACAACTAAGTCCATTAGAACTTGAGTGTAATTGAAATTTTAGGAGAAAAAACATTATCCTTTTATTTCTTAAAATTTAAAAAACACCATTAAACAGAAGTCATATCTATTACCCTTAAGCAAAAATAAATAATAAACTAAATGAAATAAGCCAAAAATAAAATAAATAATAATAAAATAAAGAAAATAAAAAGAAAAGATAAATATGAATTTTACGAGATTTATTTATAGATATATCTCTTAAAATGGGATCTATACATAATTTTTCCATTAAAAATGATAAAAAAATATTTCGTTCTTCTTCACATTAAAGCTTCATGAGCTTTCAGCCATTAAAGGGGGGAAAAAGAAGAAGAATTAATTAAACTTGGACCTCAACTTTGGATTGGATGAATCTAATCTGAACTTAATAATTAAAATTTATGGGCAAAGACCAAATTAAAACAATTCAACTGTTTAAATTATAATTAATATTATCCTTAAATATAATTCATGACCCGAGCGAAATTCACACACACACACACACACAGATGCGTGCGTCCGTGGCCGATAAGATTAAATGAACCTGTCCTTATTTCAAAACTTACTCCAAACATTTTTTTTTTTGGGAACAATACTATAAGGAAAAAAAATAATTTTCTGAAAAATGTAAAAACTGTAAAATGTATATAGAGAGTGTGACACAAGTTGAGCCTGTTATAATCTAACGCGTTATAACCATTGTAAAAGTCATCAAAAGATGGATACGTAATGTGAAAAAGTGAAATTCACATGACAAATAGGTCAATTAGATAAACATATATACTCATTATTCTCACATGGTCCATTAAATTAGAACTTGAAATTAAATAAAACGACTGACATTGATTTCTTGAGGTATAATTAATTAACGGTTAATCTAATCGGCGTGTCTATTAATAATTCCAAAGAAATAAGAGTTAGGTTAGTTAGGCCTCTAAAGTATATATAACATAAGTTATGAATAAAAGGAATCACATGAGAGTAATTCGGAAAGCATAATTCAAATGCAAAGGTTAACTTCTCAACTGAGACTTCAAAATGCAACATTATATTTTGGCATTACACTCATTGTGGCCCATAATCGAGCATATCCATATTCTGTTCATCAAGAAAAAATATAAAATCTTCACACAGTGTATTTGAATAAGGCATAATGAGGCATTACAGTAACATGTAAAAATCTGCATCCATTTTAAAAAAAATCTCTGCCTTCGTCGTTGATATCTTCCTCTTCTTGGAGATGAAAAAGAAAGTGGCTATGATCTGCTAAAGGAAAAGATAGAAAATGATAAATCATAAACTTGATAGGCCTTTCAACACACACATACTGTGGTTAGCTACAAATAGATAATTCAAACAAATAGAACCAAGAAGAAAACAGAAACAGAAACATAAACCTGTTGGCATGGACAAAACCTAAGACTTTAATTCTCTAAATCATTAGCAAAAAATGTAATAAAAGATAAACAGTGAAATCAAACCAAAAAAATAAAGAAATCAGTGCATACTCATGTCAATCATTTCGCAGTGTAATATAAAGATACATAAGATGTTATATATATTTATTAGTCAAACATGAAAAATTATGAATATAGATGAACAACACACACACACACACACACACTCTTAGTTTACCTAGGATAAGCTAGCAACAAGATAATTAAATTACAATAGTTCCATTAAAATCAACACTCGCTTATGGTGAAATGATATTGTGGCTACATCAGTAAATAGTTAATTTATACAAATAGAACCAAGAAGAAAACAGGAACATAAACATATTGGCAAGAGACAAAACCAAAGACTTCTCTAAAACAAAAATGCGAAAAAAGAGTTCGTAATAAGCAAAAGCTGTAATTAACAAATAATAAACAGTAAAATAAAACCAAAAAAGAAAAACAAGAAGCCATTGCATAATTCATATCAAGCATTACGCAGGGTTAATACAATAAAGATTTATAAGATTTTATATTTGTTAATCAAACAAGAAAAAAAAAAGAATATATAGATGTTCAAATATACCAGAGGGAACGTTTGCTTCGGCTGAACAAATTCTACAAGAAGCCCTTCGTAAACAGAAGATGAAGAACGAGGCTGATGAGAAATTGGATGATTAGAAAGGAAAGAACACACCTCAGAATATACCTTTTACAAGCGTCAAAATAATCGGAAAATGACGTAGAAGAACAAGGGAGAAAGGGAGCAGGAGATGACTAAAATAGATAACATTAGACGACGACATCTACGCCTACTACGCCGACTACGAGTATGCCTTCTTCTTGCAAAAAGAAACCCTTTCAGCCATTCGGAACAGGAACAGAAGATGAAACGAAGTATCACCCAAGAATGTTGGAGCAAAATCAAGAACACGGCTGAGATAATGATTGACTAAGTAGAAAAAGTAACTCATCTTCTGGGTCAGAATAATGAGCGACTGAGATAGTGATTTTCTGGGAAGGAATGAGAGACTGAGAGTGGCCGATCGATTCGTGTAATTCAGCGAATGCCAGAATTTTCATGCATCCGAGGTTTTGTATGGGGTTAAAGAGTGACTTGTTTATTAATTGTAACGGTCAAGTTGTTGAAACGGTTGAACTCACATTGGGCCCACTTGAGAACTCTTATAATTTTGATAATTGAGGGGATAATAAAACTTCAGTTTCTTAAATTTATGTTAATCACCAACGAAGTCCCTAAAGTTTAATTTGTATTGATTCAGTCCTTTAAGTTTGCTCTAATTATCAATTTATTTCTCATCATTTAAATAGGAGGTAATACAGTTAAAATCTGCTGACATGGATAACATAATTTTGATGGTAGTCATAGTTATTGAAAGAAGTGTGATTATTTAGGTTAAAAGAACAAAAACTCATGATGGTAAAAAACAAAAAAAAAAGAATAAAACATAGTGTAATGAACTACATTAATAAAAATTAAATTTATTTAAGGAATAATTTATTTTTATTTAGCTACATATGTCAACTTATCAAAATATTTGACACTTTTTGATGGTGTCTTTAGAATAATGGGATTTTGGCTTTGAATCAAATCTCTTATTTTGATACACAAAATTTATAGATTTAGATTATTTGTTACATTTTCTTTGTAATTTTAAATTTTCTCTACAACCGAATCATTTAAAATTTCAATCACTTCAAACCATTCGTTCTCTTCATGTTTTCACTTTTGATATCCTCATGAGTCTCATATCTTTTATTATCTCTCATTATCGTCTCTCATTGATTGAAAATAGATATAAATTCATCACCTTCAATTTTTTATTTTCGTTTCGAATCTCAACTCACCTCTTCTTTATTTGAAAGCTTTTAAAC